TGCTATGTGTTTTGTAAAATTTTAAGGATTTTGGACTTCTTAGCCACATAAGTTGGACATTTTCCTTAAGATTCGTTATGAAGTGATTGTTATGTTGTTCGTTTGTTTTGTGTTGATTTTCATAAAATTCAAGGTTGTTTAAGCACAAAAACAATTTTTAAGTTTTTGAAAATATGTAATGTTTTTCTTATGTGAATAGATTACAATTCTTATGCTTGAGTAGTTCAAGGAGACCTGCAAAATATTTTCATCATTAGACATTAAAGTTTATTAAAGTGTATCAAATGTTCTTCATGAATACTTTGTGCATGAGAGTTAGAATGAAAGAAAGATTCGCTCTTTTATAAACTTTTTCATCTTTTGGAATCATTGTTTGAGCGCTTGAGGTGAGTGGGGGTTCAAAGTAACCAAAAGGCCTTTGAATCTTTGACTCCGGGCCTTATAGAGAGTTGACGATCCTCTATATGTGGTCAAGGATATGAATCAACTTGAGCCTTTGAATTCTTTTCTATTTTTAAGTGCGTAAGTTATGTAATATATTGTCTACGTGCCTATTATATGTGTAATGTTTGACTTGTGTTCGTTCTCTTTTTAATTTTGTTTCGGGTTTTTGGCGGTGTTTCTTGGGTTACCTAAGTTGGAAAACTTGATTATCTTTTGAGCTTGTTTCCCCATTTTATCAAAAAACCAAAAAAATAAGAAAATACATAAAAACCAAAAAATATTTGCTTTTTATTCAACCCCCCCCCTTGTGTTTTTAGTTTTAAATATAAGTTTTTATACTTTTTTTTAGTATATCTTAAGGATATGTTTTATGTTTATAAGTTATATTATAAGTTCTTTGTTTATATAAGTTATATTTATAAGTTTATATATTTATTTAGTTATAAGTTTTATCATATGTGTAGTAGTTAATTGTTTTTTTAGTGACAACGTGTTTGCATGATATTTTGATTTCAAAAGTACAAACTTTTTCCGTGGGATCGACCCTTACTTGCCCTAACTATAGTTTTATTTGATTATATCTTGGGGGTTAGCTAAGGTTATTTATAAATTTTTAATTTGTTTTGGACCGCACGACAAGTTTCCAACAAATTTTGGCGCCGTTGCCGGGGAAAGTTTTGTATGAAATCACTTTAGTATGCCATTGTGCTCTTTGTTTTTTGTTAGTAAGCATTGCTGTAGTAGCCTCTTTTCTTGAGTTCTAGACTTTTTTTTACATGCCTATTCATAGAATTGGGGTTTTGTGTGCTAGAGGTAACTAAAGTCAGCCTGTTTTAATGTCTTGAATGCTGAATTCGTACTCCATTTGCTGTTTTTGTGAGATTTTTGGCCAATTTTTCATAAAACTGCTTTTTGAGACTTTTTTTTGGCATATCTTCTTGCTGGTTTTGTTTCTTTCAACCATATACGCTTACTTGAATGAACATGGTGCTATTTTTTAGAGGTTGTGGTCTGTCAATGCGGTTTTCTTGACAAATTGCACTCTTTTGCTGGTTCGAATGTTGTATGGTGTTCCTGGAAATGCTAATATACCTGCAATTTGAACGCTTGTTGCAACAATCTGCATTTTGAACTTTATTGGTCTTTTAGTTGCTGATTTTTGTTGATGCAGGTTACAAATATTGAGTTTGAATGAATTAGTTATTGTTTTCTCAAAGGAAAAAATGATTTAAAAGTTGCTGATTTTTCTAAAGTTTGCACTTTTTACTTAACATATGTGCTGATTTTTGTCCCATAGAGTGTTTCTTTGCTTGAAATATGAACTAGAATTGATAAATCTTGCTTAGGGACAACTTTATAAGCCTACCATGGTGTTTATATGATAATTTTGATGCTATAAGTGTTGTTTTACAGACAAACCTGATAAATTGCTTCTCTTTTAAAAAATTCAGCAACCTTTTTCAATGATAATCTGATTTTTTTTAGTTCCTTAGATGCTCATTTGTTGAATTATGAACTCTATTTATCAAAAAAAACTTGCATAGGAACTGATTCGAAGGCACATAGCATGACTTTACATTCATATTTTGATCCATACATGCTGAATTGTGTACTAGAGGGGCTAAAGGATCAAGAAAATCTGATTTTTGAAATTTGCTTCATATGTTGCATACTTGAATCTGATTTTTAGTTCCAAAATGACCATCTAGTGATAATCTTGGTGTAGAAACTGCCAACTAAAGCTGAAATTTGAGAGCATATATGGATTTTTAATCTTTATTTGTTTTAAAGAAACATATTTACTTTACTACTTCATGGCTTAAGTGATTTTTTTTTTGCAAGTAGTAAACTGTGTCTAGCCAAAGACTTTAAATCGGGCGGCTTATGGGAGGCAACCCACCTTCTTTTTAAGTCTTTTTATCTTTCTAAAAAACTTTTTTTTACTTATAACTTCTCGTTATTGTTGTATTTTTTCTCTTATAGTTATTTTGCATTTTTTTCTCTCCTCTTTTCTATTTTTCTTTAACTTCTTGTTGTTGTACTTAACTTTTTTTTTGTGGTTATTAATTTGATTTTATTTCTTTTAAGAACCAACTTTTCTTCCATATTGATGTAATAGTACTTGTTGTAATTATAAGATTAGTTTTTTCCTTTTTCTCTTTCATTTTATTTTTGAATAACACAAAAAAAAAGTGAAAAAAGTATGTTGCTTGAGTTTAAATGCTTTTTTACTTCATTTATGCTTCTAACCATACCTTTGAGTGAGAATGCAAGATTTTTCAAGTCATAGGTTGGAGCATCTCTGTTTGGAGTAAAAATCTGCACAGAAATGGTGCAAAATCTGATTTGAACGGCAACTCAAAGTGCTTGGGTGTTGGTATGCTATTTAAGTTTCAGTTTTCTTAAGCCTTGGGTGTTTATATTTGATCTTTCATGGGCTGAAAATTGAAAAATTCTGCACTTTTAAGGCTGAATTTTGGGAACTAATGGGAAAATCTGACCTCTCGGGTGTTATAATATGGTCATATTTAAGCTGAAAATTGAGACATACGCATTGTTTACTGCTGATTTTTGGATACTAATGAAAAGTTCTGCATTTTGAAAAGTTATTTTTGGACTTGTGAGCTGTTTTTTTTAGTGCAGAATGAAAATTCTACACTTTTTACAGCTTATAGGTGCTGAAATAGAAAAAAAATCTGCAATCTTTTCTTAGTGTTCAATCTGATTTTTGAGTTCACCAGATGCATATGTGCTGAAATATGATGTATATGAGCTGCTTTGCATGTGCTTGATATGACTTTACCTTCTCATATGCAACATATTCTTTTGGAAAGTGCAAAAAGGCACAAGAATTTGTTCTCAAGAACCTGACTTGAAGCTTGAGATCTGCATTTCTTTGAATCTGATTTTTCTCTCTTCAAAGCAAAAAGACTTGGTCTTAGTCATGTTTTGCAGATTTTAGGTCCATCGAGCACTTTAAGGAGGGAAAAGTGATGAATTGATGCTCCCTATACTTTGTTTTTTAGTTGCATTCCCCTTTCCCCTTCTCTCTTTGCTAAGTCCGTGCTTGCTTAATATTGCCATTTGCATACCATATAGATGCATTGAGGACTATGCACAATTTAAGTGTGGGGGGAGATTATCATATTTATTCCGTTGTTTGGGGAGTATTTTTTTGGGGCAAATTTTTTTTTCAAAATTGGTTTTGGGTCCAAAATTTTGTCATTCTTAGTTGCATATCTTCTTATTTAGAGCATTGTTTTCAAAATTGACCCAAACACCTCATTGTTTTCCTTAGGGCTTTATTCTGAAAGATGGCAAGTGTATACTTTATAAACCCACATTGAGTCTTTATGCTCTTTTCTTGGTTAAAAAAATGACCTTAAAATGTTTGAAATCCTTCTAGGAATCCCATAGAATTTTGTTTTCTAGAACTTGTTCATCCACATATTATCTAGATGCTGCCTAATCAACCATTACTTAATATTAAAAAAAACAGAGAGAAACCAGTTTTAGGAGCCTTTTTTTTAAGAAAATTGAGTGATTTTTATATTTTTAGGCTTATTGATGAACCTTGCTGCCGCTGCTATTGAGCCATTTTAAACCGTAAGATTCCACTAGGAAACTTTTTTGTAGCAGCTCTAGAGCATTTGTTAGAACCCAAAAATCCACACCTTAGTTTTCCATACTTGTAGGATTTCTAGCTCACTTTGTTTTCAAAAATGTGTTGGGCATAAAGTCTTAAGTGTGGGGGTGTAAAGTGCATTTTGTTTTTCTTGATGATGATTGAAATTCAAATGGTTTCTTTTTGGTCTTTTGAACGAGGACGTTCAAGTCTTAAGTGTGGGGGTATTTGATAACTCGGGTTTGGTTTGGTTCTTTTTATTCAATTTTAAGCATTTTTAATATTTTTAGAGTTTAATTTTTAGTAGTTTAGCTTAGTTTTATTTTAATTCTCATTTTTACAATCTTTTTATTTTCTTTCAAAAATATTACTCCCTCCGTCCAGAAATAAAGTTTACGTTTCTCCTTTTTCTTCGTCCGAAAATAAAGTTTACATTTCTAATTTTAACTCACACTCTTCCAAAAATACCCTTCTCTACCATTTCACTCTTCTCTCCCTCTTCCTCCTTTTCTTCCTTAGTTCCTCTTTTTTTCTTTTTCTTTCTCCCATCCGCCGCTGTGTACTTTCAATCCTCCCTCTCCCCCTCCCTCTTCTTCTTCTTTTCTTCTTCTTCTTCTTCTTCTTGCTTTCTTCTTTTTTTCTTTCTCCTGAGCAGAAACGGACGAGACCAACGCCAAATGAACCGTTTTTGCACGAGGATCACGAATTCCAATCCTTTTTTTCCAATTTTGCCTTGAACTTCACGAACTGAAGATTTTAGGCTCGGGAACCCTAGGATCCGAAATTGGGGGTTTCTTCAAATTGGCTTCAATTTCTACAATTGATGGTTCTTCTGTGGTTGGATGGACCGTGGGAGGTGACTGGTGGGGTTGCGCGACGTCAGAGGTGGCGGAGGTGGCCAGAATTGAGGAAAACCCGACGGAAATCGCCGGCCCAGGTCGCGGCGGCGATCTGGTGATTCCGGTAACCAAATCGGCTGAGATCGGTAGCGTTGGAGTCGCCTATTCTTTCTCCCGAAGTAGGAAGGACTGTTTTCCAATTTTGAGCTGTATTTTCGATTTTGAGCCGAGAATGGGCTGTTTCCGTATTGTGTTCAGGTGGAGAATCAAAAGGGGGAAGGGGTATTTTTGGTATTTTAAGTGCTTAGTCAACTCCCAATAAAAATGACAATAAGTCAAGACGTAAACTTTAATACCGGATGGAGGGAGTAGCTTTTTAATCTTTTTTGCATTCTATTATTTATTTTATTTTTCCTAACCCAAAATTATCATATATTTTATTTTTGGAGAAAAATGTAACAAAAAGGCCAAAATGCAGTTCAAGTTTGGAAAGTAAAGATTTTGGGCCGCAACCCAAACCCAACACTAAAAGAGACCGGCCCAGCATACTCTTTCTTCTCCAATCTCACGCACAAGGAAAAAAAAAGAGAGAATTCACCACGGAGACTTCTTCTTCGCGTAAAAGCAGCGCCCGGTTACGCTGCAACGTTCGGCTCCATTAATTTTGTGATAATCAATTGCCAACGGGAAGAAATTCAACGGCAAGTGGTTCTCTTTGGACTATAAATTGAAGGAAAATCGCACCAATTGAAGTAGGGAATTCACACAGAGAATAAAGCAGCAGCTTGGCCGCTGCTATGGAGGTCGCCGGCGATGGTGGCAGGCGGCGCAGCGAACGGCCGGCAGACACGCAGCAGCTCCAGCTCCGGTGGGTAGCCTCCATCACAGCTCTAATTTCTTCAATTTCTTCATCTTCTTCCTCCAATTGGTAACTCTTATTTGTCAATTTTATCTTTTCTTCTCCAATTCTATGTAAAAGTTTGTTTTTATTCAATTTTACATTTTTTTGTTTGTTAGTTTGTTCCAAAAATTTTATAACAAAATGGTTGGTGTTCTTTTATGGGTTTTTTTAATGTTTTTATTAAATCCCTTATGAATAAAAATTGATTCGTACTAGTTTTCTTCAATTATTGTGCAAATTGTTGTTGAATTGGTTGAATTGCACGGTTTGATTTCATAAGTTGGTTGGTATGTAGAATTTGGTTCTCATTGAAGCTATTTTAGCTCCATATTATAGTTAAATGATTTCCGAATTCATACGTGATTCTTCGTTGTGCTATGTGTTTTGTAAAATTTTAAGGATTTTGGACTTCTTAGCCAATAAGTTGGACATTTTCTTTAAGATTCGTTATGAAGTGATTGTTATGTTTGTTTGTTTTGTGTTGATTTTCATAAAATTCAAGGTTGTTTAAGCACAAAAACAATTTTTAAGTTTTTGAAAATATGTAATGTTTTTCTTATGTGAATAGATTACAATTCTTATGCTTGAGTAGTTCAAGGAGACCTGCAAAATATTTTCATCATTAGACATTAAAGTTTATTAAAGTGTATCAAATGTTCTTCATGAATACTTTGTGCATGGGAGTTAGAATGAAAGAAAGATTCGCTCTTTTATAAACTTTTTCATCTTTTGGAATCATTGTTTGAGCNCAAAAGGCCTTTGAATCTTTGACTCCGGGCCTTATAGAGAGTTGACGATCCTCTATATGTGGTCAAGGATATGAATCAACTTGAGCCTTTGAATTCTTTTCTATTTTAAGTGCGTAAGTTATGTAATATATTGTCTACGTGCCTATTATATGTGTAATGTTTGACTTGTGTTCGTTCTCTTTTTAATTTTGTTTCGGGTTTTTGGCGGTGTTTCTTGGGTTACTTAAGTTGGAAAACTTGATTATCTTTTGAGCTTGTTTCCCCATTTTATCAAAAAACCAAAAAAATAAGAAAATACATAAAAACTAAAAAATATTTGCTTTTTATTCAAACCCCCCTCTTTGTGTTTTAAGTTATAAATATAAGTTTTTATACTTTTTTTTAGTATATCTTAAGTATATGTTTTATGTTTATAAGTCATATTATAAGTTCTTTGTTTATATAAGTTATATTTATAAGTTTATATATTTATTTAGTTATAAGTTTTATCATATGTGTAGTAGTTAATTGTTTTTTTAGTGACAACGTGTTTGCATGCTATTTTGATTTCAAAAGTACAAACTTTCTCCGTGGGATCGACCCTTACTTGCCTTAGCTATAGTTTTATTTGATTATATCTTGGGGGTTAGCTAAGGTTATTTATAAATTTTTAATTTGTTTTGGACCGCACGACAAGTTCCCAACACCTTACCTCCAATCTTTTGTCTGTCCATCGATTTACCAAAGATAACAACTGCACCCTTGTTTTTAATGCCAATGATTTCCAGATAGTGGACAATCCTACAAACCAGGTGCAGTACAAGGGCCTCTGTGAGCATGGGTTATACACACTTCCTTCCAAACTCCCAACCGTTGCGTATCAAGCTATCCAAGAGTCCACTTGGCATCGTAGACTCGGTCACCCAGCTCCTGCGATTGCCAAATCTATTTTGTCTTCCTTAGGTTTTCAGTTTTCAGAACCTTTACATTGTGAATCATGTTATGTCTCTAAGTCATGTCGTTTACCATTGTGAATCAGTATGCTGTTAATCGAGTGTCTCAGACTATGCACAACCCCACTGAGCAGGACTATCATGCCTTACAACGCGTTCTGCGCTATCTCAAAGGCTCTTTGAATCGTGGTCTTCTTTTTCGCAAGGGGGGATTCGACCTATCTGTCTACTCTGACTTTGACTGGGCAAATGATAAAGATGATCGTAAGTCTACCACGGGCTACATACTCCTACTCGGTCCTAATATCATCTCTTGGTGCACGAAAAAGCAGACTCGTGTTTTTAGATCATCTACTGAAGCTGAATATCGAGCTATGGCTGCAGGGGTTGCAGAAGCTATGTGGCTTCGATATATCACTGATGCGCTGGGTATTCCTCCGTCCAAACCGAAGTTATACTATGACAATGAGTCGACTATGTGTGTCACCAAAATCCGGTTCTTCATGATCGCATGAAGCATGTGGGCACAGACTGTCACTTTGTACGCGATGAGGTTATGGCAGGCACTATGGCTCTACATCATGTTTCCTCCTCAGACCAGCTAGCAGACATTCTTACCAAACCGCTTCCGCCAGTTCCTTTTGAGTACTTATGTTCCAAGCTGCCCCTCGTCTCCATTGATCAGCTTGCGGGGGGATATTAGGAAGTATAATTAAATTAGGATACTACTTTCCTTTCCTATTAGGATTATTCTTTCCTTTCCTACTTGTACTTTGATTACTCTTGTATTCCCTATATATAGGGTCATATCTCTCATTATTCAATAAGACAAGTTATTATCAAATTGTATCAATTTAGAATAATGAAGAAATAATGTATTTATTTTTTATATTTATTCTATGATGATGAAATATTAATTAGTGTATTTTTCTATGTTTTTTCATCTCCTTTGTCTCGAGACAAGTCTCGTTAAAGTACATTAGCAAATTGTTTTGTAGAGCAACCGAGCAATTTGGTCTTCTTCATTGTATCCCAAAAGTTCTATCTTGTAACCCTTGTTGCTTATAATAGGGTAGATAAGAAACTTTTAGGAAAGCGTTTCCAAGGATCACGCGCCTTGAAGGCTTATCCGGTTATTTTAACCAACCCTATTTTGAACTACGTGTGGCTTGATCCCCTTCATTGGGGTACGTAGGCAACTTAGAAGGTTTTATTTTTCTAATTGCAGTCACAATAATAAAATTATCTTTATTGTTCCAACAATCTAAAAGTTTCTTATTCTACTAAAGGTACGGTTGGTTATTTTTCGGATTATGCTAATAATTTAATATTTTCTTGTACTTGAGTATAAGAATGATTTCTTATTAGTAGGTGATAGTGAAGGAGAAGATTACGGTTAGAAACAAATTGGTTTTATCCTTTGTTAAAGGATGATAAAAATTAAATTCTTTTGTTTGAGAGAAAGTATTTCTCTTAATGAAAAAATAAAGTTGCCTATACATCCATTGGTGAAGGATATTACAATGAAGGATGTAACTTTATTGTATAAAAAGTCATATTTCGTACAGTCTATTAACCAAAGTGGTTAGGTAGTCCTCATGGAGGAGGTATTTTTGTTTGGCTTTACATTTGATTAAATGATATATTTTGTATGGTTTAAATATATCCAAGCTTGGTGGATTCCTTGCATTTTATCGCGCGTTTCAAAGGCAAGGAATAAATTTCTTCTGCATATGATGAAGAAATAAAAGATTATTATATCTTCTGGATCATAATGAAGAAATGATTAGATTTCGATATACAAAATATGAGGGATGTGATTAAGCCCATAATTAATTACATGTGAACGAAAGCGCAACTCAACGTCTAGTACAACGCTCGATCTTGAGTTTAATGTTGACAAGTAGTTCATGTAGTAATTTGTAAACACTAACTGATAAATATCATCCCGGGGTAGTGTTTGATACTGCAATGGAAAAGAAGGTTGAATATCTTAATAGATATTTTGAAAAAGTGTTGCAATTACAGAACACGATTAAAAGATCTACCTATATGAATATGAAGTGTGGCCGCTTCACCAAGTTAGGGGCTTGACTTGATTATGTTCACGAATGGATATGGACACATGGCCTGAACAGAAAGTGTCAGGTTATAATTGTACTTTAAGAAAAATTCATGTGTGTAATATCTTCAATATTTTAAAGTGGTTTCATAGTTCAAAGCTTAGTCTACTATTGTAATCCAAAATATTGTAAAGTGTATTACACTAAGTGGAAGTTCAATATGCGTTACACTTTCAATTATGCATGAATTTTTTGAAATTTGTCTTGTGGGCATATTTATGTATTTTGAATTCGAAATAAATGGAGGAGGATTGTTGGAGATTTATTTTGAATTCAAAACTGAATTTTAAATAAATAGGCACAACTCTTTGAAAAGACATGTTTATTCTTAAATGACATGACTCTTGAATATTTATTTTGAATTTAAATGAGAATTTTTTTAATTAAATGGGTGTGTCTCTTACAAAAGAGACATGATCATTTATAAAGGGGCATATTATTTTCTATAAATAGGGCCCATGTCGCAATGCAAAATGAGAAAAAAAAAGAGAGGGAAAAATAATGTTAGGAAAATGATTTATTATTAATTATTATTTAATTGATTATTTAGAATAATGAAGAAATAATGTATTTATTTCTTATATTTATTCTATGATGATGAAATATTAATTAGTGTATTTTTCTACTCCCTCCGTCCCATTTTAAATTGCCTGTTTGCCTTTTTTCTCCGTCCCAAAATAAGTTGCCTGTTAGTTGTTTTTCGTAAACTTTTAAAAATAAAATACCTAAACTACCCCTAAAATAAGTCACTCTTCTTCACCTTATCTTCTCATTCATCATCACCCCTTCTAAAAAGTATGGCAATTTCGGAAAATCAACTCTATTTTTTATTTTCCTTAAATATGACCAAAAATCAAAACAGGCGATTTAAATTGGGACGGAGGGAGTATGTTTTTTCGTCTCCTTTGTCTCGAGACAAGTCTCGTTAAAGTACATTAGCAAATTGTTTTGTAGAGCAACCGAGCAATTTGGTCTTCTTCATTGTATCCCAAAAGTTCTATCTTGTAACTCTTGTTGCTTATACTAGGGTAGATAAGAAATTTTTAGGAAAGCGTTTCCAAGGATCACGCGCCTTGAAGGCTTATCCGATTATTTTAACCAACCCTATTTTGAACTACGTGTGGCTTGATCCCCTTCATTGGGGTACGTAGGCAACTTAGAAGGTTTTATTTTTCTAAGTGCAGTCACAATTATAAAATTATTTTTTATTGTTCCAATATATATATATATATATATATATGTATATATATATATATATATATATATATATATATATATATATATATATATATATCTATATATCTATGATCATTCCGATGAGAATAAAAGTTGCCAGAATCAAGTCGCCTGAATATATTATGCTATAACATAAAGTACAACATAATGCTTTATTTTCAAACTCACATTACCATTTCTTAAATTGAATATTTTTAAAAGCTTATGTGTTTTTATATACTCCGTAATACGTAGTAGAACACAAATTTGTTCTTATTTACTCTTTTGGTTTCATTTTATTGAAATACATAATTAGACACACCTACATTATTTTTGGTTCAAAGATTTTGAAAACGGAAAGAAAAGAAAATGAGATGGAAAAGAAATTCTCTTGTTTGGTTAGATAGGAAAAGAAAAGAAAAGTGGAAGGAAAAGAAAATGAGAAAGGCAAAATGTACTACGAAGAGGGAAAACAAAATTCTTCCCATTTTGGTGAGGAAAATGAGAGAAAATTATTTTCTTTTTTTTTCATTCGAATTCTTTGAACCAAACATAGTGTTAAGGCAACTATGTAGAAAATCAATATAAAGCACATGTATAGAACTGAAATAACAAACGTGTTTACTTTGTGTTTGAAATAGAACATTATAATAAGAATAAAATGTTTTATAGAAATATTTAATCACCTTACATTATCTATTACCTCAGAATGATTTATTAGATTAATCTAAAATTAAATAACATGAAAAAATGCATGCAAAAAAGTAATGAGATGATTTTTGGGTGTATTAAATTTAGATTATGTGGTATTTTTTAGGATTTTAAAAGTCTATAGATATTCAATACAGATCCTGGAAAGTCATTTAAAATCTAGATGTATTAAATTCAGATTTCCAAATATCCTTTGAAGTCTAGTGGTATTCAAAAGTTGATAGATTTTCAAAGATTTTAAAAAATTATGGATTTTGATGGATTTTTAGGCTTTGGTATAAATTCCATTCCAATTTTCAAATCTCACAAAAAACTCAAAGATTTTGGTGGACTCTCGCTGCATCGTCTCCTTCTTAGCTTACCAGTAGGGTTGTAAAACGAACGAATTGAATCGAATAATGTGAAATTTTATTCATATTTGAAAAATAATATCATTATTCATATTCATATTCGTTTTTTATTCAAATAATTATTGTTATTCATATTCGATTTGATATTAAATTCAAGTATTCATATTTGTATTCGTATTCTTTGATGAAATACGATTTTTTTTATTTTTTATGTTTTATAGCTTAGCTTCAAAATGCATTTTAAGTGTAACTGCATCATAAATATATTTCGAGATAAAAATATACTCCTTCCGTCACGTGAAACCTTTCCTCTTTCTTTTTTATCTGTCCCACAAAACACTTCTCATTTCTATTAAAAAGTTACTTTTACCCCTTACTTTTTCATACCCTAACTATCAGATCATACCTTTTTACTAATAATCTATCCATCAAATCATACTTTTACCCATCACATCAAAGGACATTTTTGGAAATTCAATACCAAAATACACTCCCTTAAATCCCTTCTAAAAAGCAAATGTCCCATGTTTCACGAAACGGAGGGAGTATAACTCTTATTTTGGTCTATTTTCAATGTTTACTTTTACTTTAGCCTTTTTCCTAAAATTAAT